GCTCCAACACCCAGCGCAACCCAGCTCCCCCCCGCGCCCCCGCCACTTTACCCACAGAAACGGCTCCTCCTACTTCATCCACCAATCGAACGACCACAGCTTGCCTCCTTCTGATTGGCTGTTGGAGGAGGCAGTTAGACCAATCGAAAATGAGCCGGAGCCAAGTAGGGGGACCGGGAAGTGCTCTGTCAGTCTTGCCCGGCCAATAGAGCGGTGCCGGAGTAGGGGCTCGGCCAATAGGCGACGGGTGCCGGGGGAAGGCGAGGACATGGCGGCGCTGCGGGTGCTGATGTTGGGGGTCTTGATGGTGTTGATGGCCGGCGAGGGGCCTTGGGCTGCGGGGCAGAAGAAGAAGGAGGTGAGGGGGGGACCAACCTGGGGACCCCGGAGCTATAGTCTACCCAGCCCCCTGCTGCTGGGGGAGCTCGGCCCGGTTCGGCCATGCCCGTGGCTGCTTTGCCCAGCCTTGGGGAGCCGGCGCCCCGCCTGGGGGGGGGGGTCTTGATGGTGTTGATGGCCGGCGAGGGGCCTTGGGCTGCGGGGCAGAAGAAGAAGGAGGTGAGGGGGGGACCAACCTGGGGACCCCGGAGCTATAGTCTACCCAGCCCCCTGCTGCTGGGGGAGCTCGGCCCGGTTCGGCCATGCCCGTGGCTGCTTTGCCCAGCCTTGGGGAGCCGGCGCCCCGCCTGGGGGGGGGCCCTTTGCTCCCCCGGGATCGCGGGGAGCCGGGCTCTCAACTATTTAGGGCCCCCCCCCCCGTGGGGTGCACTCCGCCCGGAGGGGGTAGCGTGGGGAGCGAGCCCCTGCCGGTGGACAAGTGATCTGTGGTCATCGGCAGGGAAGAAATGGAGACGTTTTACTTTGTTGTTGTCACTAAGATGTGTCCAAGCTTATGTGCAGATCCCTGTTTCTGTATGCGAAAAAAGATTGCACTACTTGTGTATGGGTTTGTCTAGATTAGCTAAAGAGAATGGAGCCTATATGCAGTTTCAAGAATAGAAAAATCATTGCAACTGAGAAGTTGATTCCACCCCTCCCCGCAATGTTCTTCAGTTACAGGAAGTGACCAAAACTAATCTATAATTTAATGTAAATCAATTGGCTTGTTTTAGTAGTACTGAACATTATTAGGATCTGTTTTCTTGGTACAGTAATGCCTGATTATTGGCTTTTGACTTCGTTTTTTGGGCTGTACTGAGCGCTCAGAACTCCCATGGAACATCATTGTGATAAAGAACTGTGGATTCTCAACCTGACCACATAATGTGTGTCTTGTTTTCTTGTGGATTTCCGTCACCTTGTTAAAATGTCATCATGAGATTGTTAACGGTTCAGAGTATCAAAAGACAAGACTCTTTAATATTCAGTCCTTTTTTAAAAAAATAAACATTTCTGACTTTATTTTTAGATGGTTTTATCTGAAAAAGTTAGCCAGCTGATGGAGTGGGCCAGCAAAAGAGCTGTTATTCGAATGAATGGAGACAAGTTTCGTCGCCTTGTAAAGGCACCACCAAGAAATTACTCGGTGGTTGTGATGTTCACTGCTCTTCAGCCTCACAGACAATGTGTTGTGTGCAAGTATGGACTTAATTCAGTTCTATAAACAGTTACTGTAAAAAGCGCCATGCTCTGTTATCGGTAAAAACTGTACCCCCTAATTTTCCATCAGCCTTTTAAAAAAAAAAAAATTGAGTAGTTTCAGAATGGGAGAGAGCTACTAAAACATAATAAATGATCATCAAAAGTCATATTAACTATTTTGATTTTTGTGCTACAATCACTGCAGCTGTGCATTAAGAAAAAGACGTTTTTGGACAAATGCAGGAATCAACATTAATCTTTGTGGGTGAATGGGCTCAACAAGTTTGCTGTTGAACCTTGCAGTGTGAGATTTTACTTATATCTAGTGTATTTATTTACAGTTATACTATATCAGATCCTTAAAAAGAGTTTTGGTGAGAATGGAAGATGTGTTCCTTCCAGCTCAAACATGAAGTATGTTCTCAGATCCCTCTGGTGCAATTACATTTTGGACATACCCTCATGAGTATAGCATTTTGTTTTATGTGTTTGTTTTTGCAGGCAGGCTGATGAAGAATACCAGATTCTGGCAAACTCCTGGCGATACTCCAGTGCGTTTACCAATAAGGTTTTTTTTGCCATGGTGGATTTTGATGAAGGCTCAGATGTATTTCAGATGGTAATATATCTATTTTAAGTGATTTTTTGTATTAGACTGTTGAGGAGACCCTGTGAAATCTACAGTACAAAAGGTATTATGTTACAGTATTACCATAATGAGGGATGATGGCCAACTTGTAATAAACAAACCAAAACCTGCAAAATAAAAACTGCACAGATATTTGTTTAAAAAAAAAAAAAAAACCCACAACCCTCCAATCTAGAGAGGGGCAGCTTAGGCTAGTGAGTGGATCACGTGAGTGGTCCTCCATTTAAGTGGGCAGCAAGATTGTCGTAAACAAGACTGCCTCCTAGGATAGGATACTTTTGCTAACTGTGATTGCATACCTGTTACTTGTGGGTTGTGCCAATTGAAAGGTAGCAGTGCTTTGATTTGGAAGCAGAGAGAGCACGTGGCTCTCGCGGTCAATGTGTGTAATCAGCATGCACTTCACTTCCCGTGCCCTTGCTTTAATTGTGTGTCACGTTAGTAATACTGGTAGGAATAAAACTATGTGGATGAAAACCAGCAGAATCTGGCAATCCTGAGTGAGGGCAGTGATAAACAAAATATCTCATGTGCCACACATAGAATCCAAATGGCTGCATGCAATCCTTGGGCTGCAGGTTGCCCACCACTGCTCCAATCCATGAGAAATAAGCAAGCTTTGTTTTCTGATATGTCAGTAGCACTAATAGGCCAAACTACTACTACTATGTAGACAGCAGTGCTGAATAGGCATGAATGATGGACTGTATGAGCTAATTAGGTCTTTTTTGTCTAATTTTTGTAATGCCATTTAACATAATAGTGGAATTGTAATAACTTGTAAAATATTGGAATTAATTTTAAATGTTTTCAGTTTGCAAAAGACTTCTAATCCTAAACAGTGGCATGGGAGGGGGGAAGAAAACATTTTATTTCTTATGAAGCTATTTTTAAGAAACTGGAGGTGTCCTATTTAAAGGAGTAGTATCAGAAAACTGATATTTTTAATTTAGGGTGTGTCTAGACTACCTAGTTTTGTCGACAAAAGTGGACTTTTGTCGACAAAACAATACCAGCGTCTACACTACCGCGGAGTTCTGTCGACATAACGTCGACAGAACTCCGCGGTTTTGTCGACGCTGGTATACCTCATTTTACGAGGCAAAACACCTTCTGTCGACAGAGTTCTGTCAACAGAAGGTGTTATTGCCTGTAACGTTGCGTCCAGACTATGGAGTTTTGTCGACAAAGCGGCTTGCTTTGTCAACAGAACTCCATGTGTCTGGACGCAAATTGTCGACGGAAGTTTTGTCGACAGTATCTGTCGACAAAACTTCCGTCGACAAAACGCGGTAGTCTAGACGTACCCTAAGTGAAAATATTTTCATGTCCCACTTGATTTTCAGAAATATGACAAATTACTGTGAATGCACAGTAAACTACACTTTAAATGTCAACTCACTTCATTTTTTTCCCCCTGAATATGAAAGTCCATATTATGGGCAAAGAATCTGTGGTCTGTCTCTTAAGATGGAAACAAATCTTAAAAAAAAAAAGGTATAAAATCATCTGAAGAAACTAGAAATGCTACATTCCTTGCATTCTTCCAAGTTACTTGGAATCTGTGCAGTTCAATGATACAAGCTGTTATTTATCATAGTTCTTGCCTCAGATTACACGCTATGTTTGTGTTAATTTGTTTTCAGAGAATTATCAGATCTTGATTTCGAAGATTTATAAACTGTGATTACAGTTTGTACCTCTCTGTGCTTCATATTGAACCAAAGGGAAAATCAGATTTTATAACTGATTTGCCACAATCTGAATGCTATGATTATTTCAGTCTGAAAGCATAATTCACTCTAATGCCACTGAAAGTTTTACACACCCTGAAAAGGTTTGGGCTCATGAAGAAACCCTGATGAAGCCTTGCTGTTGGAAATTTTATGCAGGTATTCTATGATTATGTCTAGACCACATGGCTCCGTTGACAGAGCCATGTAGATGAGTTTACTAGACATAGGAAAATGAAGTGGCAATTTAAATAATCGCCACTTCATTTACATCAAAATGGCCACCGCGCAGTGCCGATCAGCTGTTTGGCGGCACAGCGGGGCAGTCTGGACGCACCGCGGTCGACAAGGGAAGCCTTTGTCGACCGCTCCGTTATGCTTCGTGAAATGAGGTTTATGGGAGCGGTCTACAAAAGCTTCCCTTGTCAACTGCGGCGCGTCCAGACTGCCCTGCTGTGCCGCCAAACAGCTGATCGGCACAGCATGGCGGCTATTTTGATGTAAATGAAGCGGTGATTATTTAAATCGCCGCTTCATTTTCCTATGTCTAGTAAACTCATCTACATGGCTCTGTCAACGGAGCCATGTAGTCTAGACATACCCTAGAGGAATATGCTAGAACACGTTAAAAGAAGGCTTACGCAAATTGCGAACTGCAATTTATGTACTTTTTTCTGGGTTTTTTTTTTCAGAAGAGGCTTTTCTGACATTTAGCCAGTCTACATGGGCTCAAATGTGAGGAAAACCTCCTCTTTTGGAAGATCCCTTATTCTTCATAAAATGAGGAATACGGGGCTTCCAAAAGAACACGTCTGCTTTTTAGGAAACTGATCCGAAAAAGCAGATGTGTTCCCTGGATGTGGCAGAGTTTGTCTGGGATACTTTTGGTATCCCGGAAAAACTCTGTAGTGTAGACATAGCCTAAGATATATGTGATTATCTTTTAATGCCAATATGTTTCCTGTAGATAATACTATATAGTTTTCTTTACAGATATACTTGAATACAAAGACTCTCAAATTTTCCTTTTATGAGTAAAGGCAAGAATAGCATTTATGCCTATAAACAAGCTTCAGGAGTTCAGGTTCTTTGCCAACCACAGATGTGAATACTGAAGACATGAGAACACGGATTATATTAGAGAATAAACAGTGCTGTGTTAAACCTAATGGGGGAATAACCAGTATTAAATTGTGGTCTGGGAGGCATTGGGCATCAAATAATTGTGTGTGTCTCCGAACACTTTGGATACTAAAAAGAGAAGAAAATATAGAGAATCCAACAAGAATGCACCTGACTAATGTACTGTATCTCTAATGTTGTGTCATGGATTTTTGTGTGTCCTAGACCATTTTATGAGAAGTGTTCAAGTCAAAATATTATTTTTTGTTAAAGTAATAATATCTATTTTATTAATAGCTCTTCTGTTTACATGCATAAGCTACAGGACAAAACTTGAGAAACTTAAAATAAGAAAAGCTTAAATGGCTAAATATCTTAATATTTGATGCTTCACTTCTACTTCTATTTATTAATCTTTTCAATGCAGCTAAATATGAATTCAGCTCCAACATTCATTAACTTCCCAGCTAAAGGGAAACCTAAAAGGGGTGACACATATGAGCTGCAGGTGCGAGGTTTTGCAGCTGAACAGCTTGCTCGCTGGATAGCTGATAGAACTGATGTCAATGTAAGTATAGATGCACTTTCATTTCCTTCCTGTGATGTAACTCTAGCTGTGGAGAGTCTGTTTGCTGGATATATAATGTGGTGAAGGAAATCTGTTCTATTTGTGTTCTTAGTGACACTATTCTAAGCAGATCCTGTGCCCAGCTATGTCTGGCTGAGCTTTCTAGATCTTTTAAAAACAGGTAATTTTTGCTACATGCTACATTATATTTTACATTTATTTCGTGCCTTCGTCTAGAATGATTCCAAATCACTTTATAAGTCATCCACATCTATGGAAATAAAGCTATTTTGTTATTACAGGCAGAATAGTAAATAGGTCAAACAGATTTTGCTCCAAAAGTTGTATTAAAAAACATGAATTTCTTGACTACTGTTAGGATTACTAAAGAAATATTATGTTAGTATGTTATGTATGCTGGTATAGATTCATTTCTCCATATTCTTCATCATGTCTTTACAAAAAGTTTTTTTGAACTTAACCTTTTCTACTTGCCTAGATTCGAGTGATAAGACCTCCAAATTATGCTGGTCCCTTGATGCTGGGTTTGCTGCTGGCAGTCATTGGTGGCCTTGTGTACTTACGGAGAAGTAACTTGGATTTTCTCTATAACAAAACTGGATGGGCTTTTGCTGCTTTGGTAAGCAAAATTACTTTTTTTTAACCTCCCTGTTTCATCTTGATCCAGATTGAATTTAAAGAGAAGGAAATACTGCACTCTGTTATCTCTCCTGCATGGAAAGTGATTAAAAAAAATAAACATTTCCCTGCAACTGATCTTATTATAAACCAGATTCTCCCAGTGTAAGCTGAACATGAGCAATTTAGGACTGCTGAGGATAGACCACATGTCACATCCCTGAACACATTTTATTATAGTGTGAATTTTATTTAAACTGAGGTTTTACCCAGGTTATACTTAGGATCTGATTATCCCTAGTCTTCTCCAGTAATACTCATTTTTCAGAATAAGAAAATACAGGCTTTAAATGCAAACATTTGCTATTTGTCATCTGGAATTGCATTTCTAAATATTAAGTATTGGTACAGGTGCTGGAATTATAAAAAGGGCTGAATAATTTTATGACCAACAAGTGTTTGAAGTTGTTCAGAATACAGTCATTTATGTTATTTATCAGGGCATATGTATAGCATTCAGAAGATTGGAAAAAAATCTTTGCTATATTGCTTTTGTGTGTGGTTTTACTTGCTGTTAGTTGATACCAGACTTGATGAGACAGTGACCTGATCTAGTTTGGCAAACCAGTGTTCCTTGAAATGTGAGCTTATTGTTCTTCTAAGAAGAGAGAACATCTTGGCTAGAATGTAGTACACGGTAATGGGTCTTTTGATCATAATGGCAAAATCCAGAAGTACTGGGACCAGAAGTTCAGTGTAATGCAGGCTATATTACAGTGAAAGCTTTATCTGGCATTTCGTAATACTTGTTAACCAGCATTGCCGCCAGCCCCAAGACAGATGCATGTGTTTGACTCCCATCTGTCCAGCTGGTGGTTGTGGGGCTTCTGACAGCCAGCACTGCTGGCTGACATCATCAGCAGGCACGTCATCAACATCATCCTTCCCCCTCAGCCTGCCTCAAGCTGCTGGGAGCTGGAGCTGTTGATAGGGGGTAGGAGCAGAGCAATAAGCTTTGTTATATAGCACATTTAAGTAACTGGCAACCTTCATTCCCCATAAATGCTGGCTAATAAAGCTTTCCCTGTACTACAATATTAATATTTTACATAAAGGGTTATTTATGCCTCCCTTAGACTTCCAGGTTTAAGTTCAGATGATTTATAAAAGCCATGACTTCTCAAATACTTCTGGAAGGAAATATCCATATTTTTGGTTATTGAAGATGAGGTTCATCTAGCTTTCCTTTTTGGTTGACTAGTAGTACTAACTGACTGCAAGACTTTCAATTCAAATGTGTTGCCGTTGGTGAGAAGACATTATTGATTAATAAGAGATACTGTGCTATGCAGAGTATAAGGAGATATCATCATCTATACATTCCTGGGTGAAGTGAATTGCAAAGATGAGAACTGAATGAAGAGATTTATATTGATTTGTTCTATGTTGTTCCTTTCTAGTGTTTTGTGCTAGCAATGACATCAGGCCAAATGTGGAATCACATCAGAGGGCCACCATATGCTCATAAGAATCCCCATTCAGGACAAGTGGTAAGTCTTTGTAGGATTACAATTAAACGATCCATGTTAAAAACACAAAATCCAGGATGTGAATTTTGTTTCTGACTTCTTGCTTCCCAAGTGAACAAGAGTAGAAATTCTATAGAAGAAGCACTTGAGCAGTCAGTGGGCAAATTTGAGGCATAGTATTTAACTGGCTTAGAAGGACTATCTATCTATCCTCTGCCACAAGTATAGGGATTGTGAAAGAAGGGCCTTAAGATAAGATATGTGAACAGGAAATTATTCAGGATTCTAGCATGGATTTAGAGCAGGGATGGACAAACTGCGGCCTGCATTCCATGTTCAATCCATCAGACCTTTTACTCAGGCTCTCAACCTCCCACCAGAGCGGGGTCAGGTGCTTGCACTCCTCCACGTGTGTCATGGCTCCTGGGAGCAGGGGCAGCTAGAATGCTCTGCACATTGCTCCCACTCAGGGCACCAGCTCTGCAGCTCCCATTGGCCAGGAACCCTGACCAGTGGGAGCTGTGTGGGGTAGTATCTGCAGACAGAGCAGCATGCAGACCTGGTTGGCTGTGCATCTATATGGGAGCCAAAGGAGGGACCTGCTGCTGCTTCTGCTGGGAGCTGCTTGATGTAAGCAGTACTTAAGCCTGCACCCGGAGCCCCTTCTGGGCCCTAGTCCCTTTCCCAACCCTGATCCTCCTCTTGCCTTCTGAACCCATCAACCCTAGCCCAGAGTACCCCCTTACAGCCCAAACTCCTCAACCCTGACTCAACCTTTGAGCTCACAGCTGGAGCTTTTCATTTCTGACCCTAACCCAGAGCATTCATGGTGCGCCATACAATTTCCATACCAAGATGTGGCCTTCAAGCCAAAAAGTTGGCTCACCTCTGATTTAGAGGGATCCACATTTAGTCCTACCATTCTTTTTGCTAAGAAAGAGGAAGAAACGTGATCTTTCTGTTATGGATTTTGATTAATATTTTGGGTTTTATCACAAATAAGTGAAGTCAGAATTTGTCCATTATGTTTACTACATAGTTGTAAATACTTACAGGACATAAAGTAAATGTGACCGTATATACTGGTTGCTTTGAATTTCATTACAGCCAGTCCGTTTGCTGTAGTGCCTTATAATTTAGCATCAGTTCCACAAGAATAGTGGTATTAATCTTATTACCCAATACAAAAATGGCTATATATTTGATTCAGTTTAAGTGTTTTGTCTTTTTTAGTCATTTCTCTTGTGTGCAATAAAATACATACAAATACAACTGGAAATGTAGTCGCTCCTCAGACTAAGAATTATCATTTTGACCAGCCAAATGACATGCCATGCTCAGCTCTGTATGATAAATCACTCTAATTCATGACTAGATGGCATGTAGAGCACTCCCTTTTTAGCATTAGACTGCATCCTGTATTAGGAGAAGGGAAAACCATTTCTTTAGAGGGAACTATATTGTCTCCTAGTTCCATTTTTTTAAAGCTTTTTTAAAAACGTTGAGACTTCTTAGTTTCAAGTATCTTGCGTTTTTTAAAAGAGAAAGCTTTCATTATTGCTGTAGACATATCAGAAGTTAAGTAAAAATTATTGTATAACATGTTTGGTGTGTAAGAAATGCTACCTGTTTTATTTTCTTTTTCCAAACTTTAAATTACATTTTGTAGATATTTTACTAATTGCTTTCTTCTACCATATATTCTTGTTACTAATTAGTGTAGAGGAAGCACAATAGTTGCACTGTCTGCTTAAACTTTGGCAGTACATTATTTTAATAGAATGTCTTTTTACCTTAAACCCATCCACTTTTGTCTCTTCTCCAAATGTTTTCATTCCATCTCTCAGATGGCCCCCATTGCTCTACTCAGTTTTATTTTTAAGATGTTTGCATGGAAGTGACAAAGACATCTCCAGGCAGAGGGAGAAGTGACAGCAGTTGGACTTTTAAGCATCTTTTTTCTGCTGCTTTCAGATTCTCAAGGGCTATATAGTTTTATTGGCTCTTGGAAGCTGAACCTTTTTTTTTTTTTTTTTTTTTTTTTTTTTTTTTTAAATATATGTACAACTTTGCTTCTCTTCCCACACACCCAGTAACTAGCATGTAAAATTATTTCTATTTGTATTTATTCAGACATGCTTTTGTCCTCTTTGGTGATGTTTTATTGAACTTTCATAAGAATGTAATCCTGTGATTTAGTAAAAAGTTGTATTAATCAGTCCTGACCTTTGGTTCTGCCTTGCATATCATCTAGTGCTTTTCATTGTACTAGGCGCATGCCTGTGCCCCACATACTAACACAGGAGTGAACGCTGCTTCACAGATCTTTCAGTTAACCTCTGAGTAAAATGTGACGTTTATTCGTCAGCATATCTTGATCTTCACTTAGACAGACAGATTTCAAATCACATGTTCCTTTTTAATTCTGAGAGTGTTATAAAGTATTGCTGAACTGCTGGTCAAGAATATTGTTGTGCTTGGATCTAACATAACTCTGCATATGCAAAGCTTTTTGTATGTAGCTGACTAGCAATAAAACTTTCTCCCCCATATAGTCTAAGCTGTTTTTGACCTTCTTAAAAAAAAAAAAAAAAAACCCAATGCTTAATATTTTATATTATGTCTGAGTCACCGTCAGTGGAAAATATTTGTTTCATTTTGAATGTTTTTCTTATCAGCATTTCCTGTGTTTTGCAATTGCTTTCTGCTTGTTTCATTCTCAAGGGCATATATAGCAGATTTTTTTTTTTTCTCCGCCAACATAATTTTAAAAATCCTTTTGTTTAGACTTGAGCTTTATTCTTCATTCTGTTCTTAACTCTTCCCATTGGTAACTTTCTTTTAGTTTCTTTCTTTCTCCCCCCCCTTTTTTTTTTATCTTGGGAAGACATGAAGTGTTTGATTCTTGGGCCCAACATGTAGAGCCCACAAGGTGCTAGTGGAGAATTCTCATCACATTTGGGTGTGGTGTACGCAAGTTTATGCTACTCATCCTCACAATACCCAGCAAACCAGGAGAAAAAGAGCGTTAATTGGAGAGGCAGGAGAAGAAATGCTTATAGTACTCTGCACTGCACTAAAGAGAATCTGGGCAGCTGGACACACTGGGTAACACTTCTGTGAATTAAAAGAACCCTGGGTCTGGCTCTAACACATAACTGAAGGATGGTTTTGGCCCTGCAAAAATCTGGATGGTACAAAGGTGGCACAACACCACTTTTGTCCCCGCTGGCCTGGGACACCTATACTCTATTCCCGAAAGAGAGAATACAGAATCTAGCCCAAGATTTTATCTCTCTAACTAATTACGTTAAATTCTGCTCAAAAGTTTCTTAATTGAATTTTGTCTTTTACAGAACTATATCCATGGAAGCAGCCAAGCCCAATTTGTGGCTGAAACACACATTGTTCTACTGTTTAGTATCCTTTGTAGTGAAATATACACATCTGATGGCAATTTAGTTTTTTGCCAAATCTATACATTCTCTCTTCACTATAGTAGTTTGCTAAGATTCAACCTGTAACATAATACTTATAATGATGACCAAAACCTTGTAGTGCCTTTATAATATGCCAGCAGTCAACCTTCTCTTATGCCAACAGCCTGTCAGTTCAACAGGATTAGGTTACGGTGATTCTTGTCTCCCTTTTCTTTCTCCTGGGACTCGATATATCCTTAAATGAAGCTATGGATCACTACATTTTTTGAGACAGCCTGTGTTGGTGTCTGTAATAGTAGGTGGAAGTAGAACTAACCATTTTTTCTCTCACCATTGATGGATTCTTTCCTTTGTACCAAGATCTCCTCTCCAATGGAATCCCATAGATGCTTAGTTCAAAGGCCACTGCACACATCTAAGTTGTCCTGTTATTATCTCCACCTTACTATTATGCTATTTTTGCCTAACAGAATTAAATCAAAAAAAGGAAAGGATTTGGGAGTGGGTGGGTAGAAAAAGCAGCTTTGTCACTGCTACCTTCATCTATGTTTTTAAAGTTTTTTTTTTTCTTTTTTTTCTTTCCCCCTTTCTGGAGAAGAGGAGTATCTTCCAATTCAACTCCACTCCAATTATTCCTCAGCTAAGACATGCAGGGTTTTTTTTCCCCCTCTTCCACTGTCAGTAATCTTATTTGTCCTTGGCTCTAAACTTTCCTCTTCATCCATCTTTCGTGTTTCTGTAAGCCCACCAATTCCTACTTTTACATCGTCTCAGTATGTCACTACAATATCTCCTTACTGAAATCCTTGTCTAGGAATTTGTCTGCTCATCTTTTTCTATGGTGACAACCTTTTCTAGAGCCTCAAAGTCCCTGCTCTCCAGATACCCCTGCCTACATTTTCAATGTACAAAGAGTAGAAAATGTGCTGTAATAATATCAAGCTAGTGCACTATCTCCCCATCTAGTGGTTGATTTCAAAATCTACTACAAAATTCCCTTCCCTGTTCCTTCAGGCTCTCTGTAATATACTCTGGCTTCCCTTTTTCTTTTTCCTCCTTTTCCCCCTCCTTTTTTTCCTCCTTTTTCCTTTCACAAAATAAGGTGACTGGTGCATGAGCCTCTCTGTTACAGCTGTTGCCATCTGGAGCAGACTTTCCAGGGTGTTTCTACTTCAAGCTGTCGTCTTTTCTGAAAATTCACTGTACCTTTTTTTTCCTACCCTCCTCCCCCAATTCCTTTCCTTTTTGTTGTTTAATTCTGTTACGCATTTTGGGAGTACAGTTTATATAAATGATCCCAAACATAAAATTACATTAACATTCTCATTGTTTCATACTCCTACTTCTAAAACCAAAACAAAAAATTACAGTTGACCTTGTAATTCTCAGCTGGTATCCAGTTTTATCTGGCTTCAGAATGGGTCTTCTGTGAATTATTTTTCTTTCCATCAGAATCTTTTTTATTTCAGCAAATTGTATGCTCAGGTTTTTTTAATCTCATTACAATAATGAAGTGTAACTACAATATAGCTTCTGAGTTCAGGTGAATGAAGCAATTAATGGTAACTTAGATATAAAGCACCATGAATCTTTTTTTTTCTTTTAGCACACTTTTGATTTAAGTTATTTTAACTTGGTGATAGAGTTTGTTTTACTGTATTTTGAAAGGGTTTCCAAATTTCAGTGCATTTATCGAACAGTATGGGAGTTTTTTTTTGTTTTTTTTTTTAAAGGAAAAAGTGTTGTCATAAATACCACCTATCCCAAAACTGGGCTTTTGCTTTCCTTTTTAAGGTATTGTTACTTTTCTGTTGTGTTGTGTATAGATTTTCCTATGTCAGTAGACCTTATGGTCAAATACAGCATAACCAGCTTGTAAATCTTGTCCTCAATTTTAGCAATATTCTTACTGGTGAAAAATAGTTCAAACTGAATATCAGAAAAGGTTCGAACTTTGCTGTTTGTGCCTGGAATAGTCTGTCAAATAAACAAAAATTGAGAAATAGCCTAACAAGATGATAGTTAATGTAAAAGAAGTTAAATAATATGGACATGCTTTTGAGAATCTTCTCATCAGCATGGGGAGGTCAACAAGGTAGAGCATTATGAATTAGAGACAAGATCTTAATTCATACCTCCCTCTTTCTGAGGAAAAGTGCTATTTGTTGCAAACTTTCTCAATCTAATTTTGATATTTAGCTAGTGCAGTTAAACAGATCCCTGACATTTTCATGGTTTTTGGTCTTCTGTGTTTCCTGGAATATTACCAATTACGGTATGTTGATTGTAATTTTTCTGCCATGTCTATCTTGGCTGGGGAGTCTTTAAGTTGTATATGTGCCATGTGTTTATGACTGAATGGATTTATTACATTTAAAAATAAGAATATTGTGTCTGTCAGTTTAGCCTTAAGCAGCTTTTGCAGATGGTGGTGTTACTTTAGGAATGGTATTACTGCATGAAGCTGCTACCTCTGATATGGATGTGGGGAAAAGAAAAAGTAAGTACTACCTCTAATCCAAGCAGTGTATATTGTTGCTTAATTGAAAGGTTTAATCTCCATCTAGGAAACATGTCTTCAGGAAATGTTTCCAGTACAGCAGTTTGCTGCACTGCTAGCACTCTTCTTAGTATATGTATTTTTTCAAGGTGTTTAGGCTCTCTTTATTTAATTCTTAGTTCAGTGTAGAAATGTAGCAAAATAGTAAAACTCAAAGTTATTTCTAGCGGTGTAAGAGTGTAGAAATAGAGGCAACAACATGGGGGGGCAGCAGGTGGTTTCCCAGGAGATGGACCAGGAGCCCCATGTAACCGTTTGGGTAATGGATAAGCTTATTGGTTACCCATTTAAACAGCTATACTCTTACATCCCTAAATGATACTAGCTTTTCGTTTCTTTGCTCTGCTACCACCCAACTTCCCCTAACGAGAGAGGGGGAGAAAAAGGGGGAGGTATGCTTTCCTGTACCTGATGGAACTGTTGTGCACAGTATACCAAAAGAGGTGAACTTTCTGTTCCTACAGAAGCATTTGTAGGAGCTCAGAGAGGTACAGGAAAACAAAAAAAGCATTCTAGGATACATGGACTTTAATAAATGCTATGTAATATTTGCTGACTAGGTTTAAAATAGGCAAACACATATAAATAAATGAGTTACAGTGTGTGGTTGCAAAAGGTGATACATTTGTACTCGTATGTCATGTCAACTCTAAATGTCTTTTAGGACTATCCCAGGTTAACCTCGCAGAGCTCTGCTTCTGTTTCATAACTCTGACACTGCAAGAGTCCAAACAGCAAAAGAGATGAAAAATTTTCTGGTCAGCTGTTTGTACTTCTCTCTTTCAGAATTCAAGCTGATGGAGTGAGCCCTTTTGTTTGTAACCTCTTCAGTGGTGGAAGGGGCAATTAACAAAGGCTAAGTCTATATTGCACTTCTGTTGTTAAACCTTTTGACACATGGGGATGTGAAAAAACACTTCCCAAACAAGTTTTAATGACAAAAAGTGCAGCTGTGGACAATATTTCATCCTCAGGAGCCACAATTCGATTGATGAAGCTGCTGCCCCTCATAGTGGATGGTTTTATTTTGTTGCTATGAAAGCTCTCCTGGCGATAAAGAGCAGCCATGCAGTGTACCTTACAATAGCTCGGCTGCAGCAGCACTGCCGCACTATTGTGAGGTGCACTTTGTAGACATAGCCAAAGTCTTTATGTTATGATGTCTCACAATGACCCATTTAGTTTTGATACATCTTCTTGAGGGACAGGAGACGATCCCTGCTGGCTGGGCTCAGTTGCAGAGCAAACTTTTTTTTTTTTTTACAGTTACAAAGTAAAAATTTAAATATTACCTTTTATAGCGAGTGATAAAGATAATATAAGTGAGATCAATGCATAGAGTCATTTACATACATTTCATGAAGTCTAATCACGTTGTAAGTTCTATACCAGTGTTTCTCAAAGTGGTCTGTGAAACCACTTTGAGAAACCTGTAAACTGGCCACGCCAGTTTGTTTACTTACTGGCACCTCAGCCACGGAGCCTCGTGGCTCCTATTGGCTCTGTTTCACCGTTTGAAGCCAAGGGGAGCCTTGGGAATTGGCATGGACTGGACCGCTGCTTCTTGTGGCTCCCTTTGGTGGCAAACAGCGAAACAGAGCCAATAGGAGCCATGAGGCGCTGTGACCGCAGCACCATAAGTAAATAAACCAGTGTGACCAGTTAACAGGTTTCTCAAAGTGGTTTAGCAGACAACTTTGAGAAACACTGTTCTATACCCATCTTAACTATGCTAACGCACAGGAAAAAACTGACTGGTTTGAATTAGTCAGTGCTCGGCTGAGGCCTGAAGTCTTGCAAAAGTTGGCAGCTAATCTGCCAACATTGCTGGATGAAACTTTTTCAAAGGGTCTCAGCAGTCCCTAATTCTGCTCCTGTTGACATCCACAATTAAATTCTCATTGAGTGCAGCAGGTGGAGATTTAGCTGTGGTTGAGCATTTGTAAGCCCTGTTCATAGTGAGTGGTGTTTTTAGGATGGACTTCTCTGATCATTTTATTTTGTACTCTGTTCTTATCTACAGTAATGTGTATAGCTGGAGTTGGCCTCGTGGTATTATTCTTCAGCTGGCTGCTCTCTGTCTTCAGATCTAAATACCATGGCTATCCATACAGGTATGTCTTTTTTGGTGTTTAAATTGATGTGCTTTAATTCATAGGGGTTCATGTAACTATGGTATTGATTGAAGAGTATTGCTGTAAATAAAGGGACAGTGACTTAAAGCATTGAGATTTTATAACAGGATAAGGGTGCTACTTTTATAGTTAAGGGTGTAACTAAAAATGAATAAACTATTACCCTTACATCCATTCTGATTGGGGTTTCCCTTCCCAGTACTTCTTTTACATAAGTGGATGACTATTAAAAAAACAATACTTTGCCTGAAGTCTACTTCAGAAGAAAGATGGAAAACAAACGGTCCTGAAAACACTTCTCATTTTATGGTGAAACTAGAGACATAAAAACTGGTTGATTGCAGTAATGAGCAGAAACTTTGGTAGTCAACAGTTAAGGCCACTATTTTCTCTGTCCAGTTCAAAATAAAAGAAAAAAAATGCCATGGTACTTTATATAATCTGATAGGTAGAGAATAAATAAGAACCCCAAAATTACTTAGTATAAAACATCTTTAATGCAACACTGTCATTGCTCACCATAAATAGGGTAATAGGAGTAAACATTTGATTGCTTTAAAGCTTTTTTCCCTTGATTTATTTTTTTCCCCAAATCACCTCTTTCTTTCTTGTTACCTCATTAGAAATTAGATTTTTTTTTTCAAAGCTCATTAAGGGATTTGAAACCTAAATTCTACCTTGAATTCTAAATTTTTTGGGCGTGAGATCTTCAGAGTTGCCTGTGTCTCTTTATTTGTTATATGGAACATGTAGTATGCTTTTTGGGGGGCTGAAGTCCTAATCAGGAGGCTTTGTAAATACTTTATCCTTCTGGGGAAAATTTTTAAAAGTACGAATGAGAGTTAGGAAGTCAACTACCAATGCCCTCTTCTTCTGTGGCTAGTTTATGATTTGCACTTGCTTATGTAGGCTGATATTTTCATCTCTCTCTGCCAGGGCAAATGTTCTTTCAAAACAAAATTTATTAAAACCCATAGTGTGTTTTGGAACTAATGAGGGCTTGCTTCCAGAGCAATGGACAGAGTTGTGAAGGTTTAACTGATTAACCAGTAAGCCTCACCCTTGATGGGTGAGGCTACTGGCTAAGGTTAACAGCTGGAGCAATTCCCCGCCTGTCACAGGTAGGGGGTTGCTCCAGCCCGGAGGGTGGGGTGGTCCACCATAGGGTTTGCTCCCATGGAGCCCCTGCCTATGGCAAGGGGGCTCCAGCCAGGCTGGATCAGCTCCCTGTTCACCTCCTTTTAATCAATTAACAGGTTAAACAGTTGCCAATTAAACGGGATTTTATATTCCTAGGTCCCTCCAGAGTCAATCAATTTAACTTTTCAGTTGCTATAGGACTTACTATAGCGTGACTGATCCCCAATTATTTTCACCTCAATTGCACCATACTCAGTTCGTCATGTTATAGTCTCCCATATGCCCCTAATCATTCTGAATGAAACTGCCTAGAAAACTAAATTGTTTATTTCTTTGCTTCAGTGAATTTTACTTTTAATACCCTGTGTTTTATTGCAGTTTCCTGATGAGCTAAAGGATTCCATAGACTGGGAGCATTTGAAAGTTGTCAGCTCTGAAACTGTGTAATGGAACTGAAGAGCTAAATGCATGTGGTTCATGCTACCTCTTTTGAACATGAATGAGATAGTTAAACACTGAACCAAAGAAAATGTGTAGTGCCTTAAAATGACAGTTTGCTCTGAAAGTCACATGGAGTATTAAGATTCAGTCTTTTTTCATAAGCTTTATATCATGTTAAACCATTTTACTTTAAACCTAATGGAATTCAAAACTTAGATTATGGACTAACAGTGTTTCTTTAAAATAACTAGAAACAGTACTTACATTTGGTTTGATAATTTTGTTTCCTGCTTCCTCAATGGTGTGGGGGTTGTATTTTTTTTTTTTTTTAATTCCTTTATCTTTCCTCTCATCCTTTTGGTTTCTCTCATTTTCTTTTCCCTTTTTTCATAACACTGATGCTTGGGTTATACCCTTTCATGAATGAGAGAGCCAAACGCAGCATGTACCTGGAAATCTCTTCCTTTTTTCTAGAACACACTCCGGCTTCTAGCAGCAAATGTGCAGATATTACAGTTCTTCGACCTGAGTCTCTTGTACTTAACTGCAGTGCAGTGCAAATTATTATCCCCACAGAGTAAGGGAAAGTTATAACATATAGCACTGGTGAACATATGTGGAACCTTGAATGAAGTTATCCAGAGTGGTTTGATATTGAGTTTCCCCTCAATTCTCAACGCTTCCCACCATCAAAAAGACACTGATGTATTTTTAATAAAATGACCCACAGTTTGTCGCAGACTCTGCTGTTCTGAACTGTCTAATAAATTTGAGGCAATCCCCCTTTCCCTTCTGATTACATTGCCCGGTTAAGTGGACATTGAGGACCCTCTTTGCCTGATACTGAAATTCCTCTGTATGCTATAAATGCTGGCACAGTGAATCCAGTCTGCATAGTCCAAGGTTCAGAATGTTCTTAGCCTTTTCTTCCTTCGCGGTAGCTGATTTTGAAAAATTGTAATCTGAAAAATAGTCCAAAAGATAGTCCGTTTCAGCTGATAAAACAGAGGGATCCTAAATGTGGTATATAAATGTTTTCAGACTCCTGCCAAAAAAGCAGACATGCCAGCACTTTGAGTCATTGTAATTTGGAACTGTGATTTGCCACCTCCTTTAACTTGTTCTAGTTTCCTTCAGCTTTACTTAATAGGAAGATTGGATGGGTGGGGGATTACGGGTATGATTCCAGGATAACACTATTATCTTGGTGGAGATTCTCATAGCCTTATAGTAGCCCTTTCTGCTTTATTTTCTGCTCTTATTTCCTCTAACCAAGCATAGTGTGTCCCCCGAAACACTTCCTTCTCCATCCTATTCCTGAGAAGGAAGAGACTTAACTTCTTATGCCTCAGCCCATTTAGTCTTAAAAATGGGCCATAACTAAGAATTCCAGCACCAGTACTAGTGGAAACTCTTGCAGCTTGATTAGAAAGTGCTACCTGTTACAGAGCAGGACAAATTCCTAGAGGTCATTTATCATGAAGGATGTTATAAATAAGTAATTTCTTGTCCTCTCCCCTGTTCCAGGAGGGCAAGAGATATGGAACTTTTCTTTGGACTATAAAATACATAAGAAATAACTACTTCATTCAAACTAGAATGTTACTGTTATTCAAGTTCGCAGTTCACTAAGTTAACTTACATCTCAAGTGCCTTAACTACACTAATCTAGTCTTCAGTTTAAATATTGGGATGTTTTTATACAGCTCAGAACAATGAGCCTTAGTAGCACAGATAATCACTTGATTGACTGGATTTTGGACAACTTTCAATAAAATGTTTTACAGTCTAATCCTTGTTCTTGTGTCTGAACTTTAAATATATATTATAAAATATACTATAAATAAAATGAAGTTAATTTTCCTCATTCAAATCCATTGACTTACTAGATTTTTTTGTTATCAGTATGACCTGATAAACTGTTTGGGGTCTACTAAACTAGTACAGAAAATGTAGTCCAAGAATATAACAATGGTAGTAGGTGAATACAACTCTTCTAGCTAGAAAATTTTATCTTGGTCTTACAAGTTTCTTTGTATATTCCTTGTGAAGCATTTGACCACTGTCCTGAGAGAGACTATTGGACTAGATGGACTGCTGGTCTTATCTAGTATACAAAATATCATAGAAGAAACCTAGCACCCATCCTGGAACTTTGAAGAAGTTTACAATGCAATAATAGATTGCTTCAGCTCTTGCTTTTCATCAATACTCCAAGAATGCTGCCATTTAATATTTTCAAGCTTGTTGAAGAGTTTTCAAGCTTTTTGAAGTTCAGTTGAAATCGAACTTCAAAAGTATTGATATCTAAGTTATCCAAACCATAGCAACTTAGGACTCTGTTTCTGAGGAGGTAAAATTTTTGTGTCATTAACTGTGTCATAAGGCTTGATTCTAGTTGTGTGACTGATTAGCTTTCAGGTATTTGCAGGAAATGTGTGACTCAGACTATTTTAGTGGCTAGGAAGGAAGGTTGGCACTGTGGTTGAGGCAATGGATTTACAGTCAAAAGATCTAGGTTCCTTTGCTCTGCCACAGCCTGTGACTTTGAGCAAGCCACTTACTCTCTGTGGCTGAGTGCTGCACTCATAAAATGGGGGTAACTTTTTCCTTCTCACCGTTTCTCTGTCTTCTCTACCAAGACTGTAAGTACCTTCACAGACTTGAAGGTAAGGTGAGTTAAAATGGAGCAAAAGAGATTAAGTGTTCTAATGAAGACCTGTAAGGTCCCTGCCTTGTGCCAAGGAGATAAGGGTGTAAAAATCAGGGTTGAAATACCTGCACTTGTTAGAACCTTTAGTTTGAATTTTAGATATTCCATTTGCTCCTTCAAGCACAGTCGGTATTGAAGTACTCTTTTTTTTTTTTTTTTTTTTTTTTTTTTTTTTTAAGACCAAAGACTCATCTGCTCTTTGCAGAGACATTAAAGATCAGACACTGCTCAGATTATGGGGCTTACAGGTGAACTCAGCAAAAAATTCCCATTCCAGCACGGTTGTGATGTGATTTGAGCAGACTGCTGCCCTCTGTTGTGCTATTGCATATAAGTATTTTGGGATTACAGACTATATGTAAGTGTAAAACTATGCAGACAGTACAAGGCAAATACAATAGACTTGGCTGTAGACTGCTAGGCAAATTAAGTTTAACAAATCGTAAATAGACTGTCAGACTAAGCATCTTTAGCCTTAAAATTTAATTCTGCCTCTAAGAAAAGCACAACTACATTTCTTATGTGGAGGAGAAGGAGATAAATAAAAT